TTATAAACCTAGGAATGACGAATATACCCTTCACGGTTGGTTTGAGACTTAGAATGTCGATATTACCCCTGGGAGTCATTGCGTCTAAGAGATATAAGTAAAGGGTATTATCGTCGTTTTGCTAATCTTGTTGCTTTTACTCTTGGCCAGCTGGCTTTAACTTAACCCATCTCTTTACTCGTTTGTAAATGTCGAATATGCCCCCGTTAGATTACGACGCTTTTACAGTTGTTGGTTTCGAGATACTTGAGGGTATAGATGGAAATCCCATCAGCATCGGATCGTGAATCTCTATAGTACAGAATTTGCTCTATTGGGCTAGCACAAGAAGGCCCAGTAAGATATCTAAAAGCCTTAGAGGGTATAATTGGAATTTCGATCAGTATCGGATCGTGAATCTTTAACACAGAGTCGGTCTTGGAAGGTTTTTAGGTTGTTTAACGTCTGCGTTGGGGAGAAAGAAAATTTTCGAATTTTCTCGGGAAAATCGGAAACGAGGGAAGTGTTCTTGTAGATTCACGAGCATCGATTCTTCTGATTTCGAAGTTTAAGGCGTTTCTTTTGAAGAATCGTTTGCTTTTGTTTGGTTGAGGAGGATCTTCGTGTATCGCTGGTCTTTTGTGTTCTAGGGTTTCGAAGCAAGAAGTTTTCTGAGGATGAGGAGTGAGAGAGAAGTTAAGAATGGTGTTTCTGAGGAAGAGAGAGAGGTGAAACGGAAGAGAGTGATAGAACGATCTGATTCGCCACCTCCACCACTGGGTTTCAATAACCCTCTTTTGCCGTTGGCTAATGCTTACGATGATGAGGAAGAGGACGAAGAAGACGAACGAAGCAAATCGCAAGCTCGTGGGGGTAATGGAGTTGCGAAATCTAGAGAAGTTGAAGATGAGGTCGATGAAGACGAAGATGATTATGATACCTCTAAGAATCGGGGAAAGCATTCACGCCATGTTGAAGTTCGTCGTGATTGTCCTTATCTTGATACTGTTAATCGTCAGGTAATCAATCAATCATCCTAGTTAAAGAAAAAAAGAATGTGCTTACTCAATTTCTTGTGTTTGGTACTGGTCGATTGGTAATGGAACTATCCTTATGTTGAATTTCAGGTCTTGGATTTTGATTTTGAGAGGTTTTGCTCGGTCTCGTTATCAAACTTGAACGTGTATGCGTGTCTTGTCTGCGGGAAGTACTTCCAAGGAAGAAGCCAGAAGTCTCATGCTTATACACATAGCTTGGAAGCAGGACACCACGTTTATATCAATCTTCTGACTGAGAAGGTGTATTGTCTTCCTGATGGTTATGAGATCAATGACCCTTCTTTGGATGACATTCGACATGTTTTAAACCCGAGGTATGTTATGTTGGATCTTGTGACTACTACTGCTTATTACCTGTGTTGTGTGCAATGTCCTTCTCCATGTTCAAACTATCTCCACTTGCATTGATTTGTGACTTGTGAGTGTGTGGGACTTTGCACATACTTAAAAACTATTCTCTTAGTCTCTTATCTGAAATCGTTTTCGTTTTGCTAGCTATCGGTGTCATTACTCACTCAAGTTGATATTTCTTTTATGATTGCTTGAATATGTCATTCTTCTTTCATGCTTTTTAGAATTTTCTTTCTTTTAACAATTGTATTTTCAGTTCCTTCTTATGAAGGCTTCGGTGCTATCCATTTACAGGTTTAGTCAGGCGCAAGTAGAAGAGCTTGACAGGAATAGGCAGTGGTCTAGGGCTCTTGATGGTTCTGACTATCTTCCGGGAATGGTAATCCCTTCTCCTTGAACACAGTTGATGGGTACAGCTATGAGTAAATTTTTCTTCTAAATGTACTTTTACTTTGTATATATGTAGGTGGGGCTGAACAACATACAAAAGACAGAGTTTGTGAATGTTACAATCCAGTCGTTGATGAGAGTTACTCCATTAAGGAACTTTTTCCTCATTCCTGAGAACTATCAGCATTGCAAGTCTCCCCTTGTTCACCGTTTTGGGGAACTAACTCGGAAGATTTGGCATGCTCGGAACTTTAAAGGACAGGTCAACCTCAATTCATGCCTCTCACTTTTTTAGTTTTTTTTCATGCCCTCACCTATTGACAACCTTTGCTAATATAAGTTACCCTGCGTCAACAGGTGAGTCCACATGAATTTTTGCAAGCTGTCATGAAAGCCAGCAAGAAACGATTTAGGATAGGCCAACAGTCCGATCCAGTGGAGTTTATGTCGTGGCTCCTTAACACTTTGCACATGGATCTTAGACCTACAAAGGACGCCAGCAGTATCATCCACGAGTGCTTCCAGGTATGTGTCCATCCTTTTACACATTAACATAATGTAGTTAAATATAATTGCTGCATGTTCATGTAACATACTAAACATTACAGGGTGAGTTGGAGGTTGTGAAAGAGTATCAAAACAGTGAAAACAAAGAAACCTCCAGGATGCCTTTTCTGATGCTTGGGCTAGATTTGCCTCCGCCTCCTCTTTTCAAAGATGTCATGGAGAAAAATATAATTCCTCAGGTATGCACCTCTTGCTTTAGATTCCTTAGCTATGGCTATTGCAAACCTTGCAAATCATCCTACTCTGTCCTCTTACAAAATGTATTCAAGAAAGGGGAACATTATTATGAATAAGATCTGGGCGTTGCTATGCTAGAAAACTTCCAATTTCAGAACTGTATAATAATGTCGAATTTGGTGGAGAGACAAAATATTGAGTCCTATTTAGTGGCCTTGTGATTTTTCACTGTCATAGAGTAGACTGTCTTTTTGGAATCTACTGTATGAGTTAGGAAGAGAAAAATTCTCTGACTCCTTAGTTGGTTTAGACCTCGAGTAGCCTTGACGGATTGCTACCTCGTAGATGCGTCTTTGAGTTTTTAGTTTGCAAAGTGAGGTAAGCAGAAGCTAATTTCTTTGATGTATTGGTCAGGTTGCTCTATTCGATTTATTGAAGAAGTTTGATGGAGAGACTGTGACAGAGGTGGTTCGCCCTAAGCTAGCCAGAATGAGATACCGTGTGATCAGATCTCCTCCTTACCTGATATTCCATATGGTTCGGTTCAAGAAGAATAACTTCTTCAAGGAGAAGAACCCTACCTTGGGTGAGTCTATTTNGATTTTACGTAACATTATTGTCTAACAAAGAATCCCTAATGCCTAGTTAATTTGACCCAGTTTTTTGTCGATGCTGCAGTGAACTTCCCGGTGAAGGACATGGAGCTGAGAGATTACATACCATCATTACCTGTAGCCCCAGAAGGCGAGAATGCTTCTACTAGGTATAATCTAATAGCCAACATTGTACATGATGGTAAGCCTGAGGACGGATACTTCAGAGTCTTTGTGCAGCGGAAGTCACAAGAACTATGGTAAGCTGTTCTCATTCACAAACTTCTATAGAACTTTGGTATTTTAACGACTTCCATGAAATAAGGACGGCAAAAGTTTAAATATTTTGGTGTTTCGCTTTCTTTTAAAACCGCCAGAAATTCATTTTTGGAATAATGTTCAATTTCAGGTACGAGATGCAGGATCTTCATGTTGTGGAGACGCTTTCCCAAATGGTAGAACTATCGGAAGCATACATGCAGATATATGAGCAGCAGCAAGAGGAGTAGATATATCGGAAGCATAATGGTTTTGGTCTGATTAGAGTTAAGTTCAAGTTGTTTTGTTTTAAAACGAAAAATCCAACGCTTAGAAAACGATTATGACCAAGGAAATGTGTAAAACCTGTCGCTACTATTTTTATCTTGGGGAAATTCAAATACAAATTTTTTTTTTTGGTAAGAAAAACGAAATGATCGCGTTGTCTTTTTCTTGTTTCATATGATATGATGACTGCTTTGTTACGAAAGTTTTCTTCCAGTAATAATGGTAAGTTGAGTATTTTTAATAATTTAGAAATTTAATTAAATTTTGTCAAAATGTGGTGTTTCAATTTATGTTTGTATGTACATACTAGCTAAGCTACAAATTTGTTAGCTAAAATTTACAAAAAGACAAATTTCCCATGTTTAGTCAGGCAAACAAAGTATAATGAGGAAATAAAAATATTTGGGAAAAATAAAGAGGGAGAAATAATTCTGGCATAGACCCTCCAGATGAAGAAGCGGGTTTAATACCACCATATACTACTTATCTTATAAAACCATACGTTTGAGACATTTTCTCCAAATCTCATGCTTTGATCATGAGACTCTGTTTCTTTGAAACAAAATGAAGAAACCATCTTTACATTATTTGGTAGTCATATCGATGCTCGTAACAGCGACTTGTCACCCTCTGATACTGGTTCCAGGAAGCGGTGGTAACCAGCTTGAGGCAAGACTGGACAAAGACTACAAACCGAGCAGTTTCTGGTGTAAGAGGAGTGGTGGATGGTTCAGGCTCTGGTTTGATCCAACTGTGTTATTGTCTCCCTTCACCAAGTGCTTCAATGAGAGAATGATGTTGTACTACGATGCTGATTTGGATGATTACCAAAATGCCCCTGGTGTCCATACCCGGGTTCCCCATTTCGGTTCTACCAAATCCCTTCTCTACCTCGACCCTCTTCTCCGGTTAGTACCTCCCAATATTTTTTGGTTCAAGTTTCTAGTAAACCGAACAAAATGTAAACCGGATTGTCCATTCTTTAGTGAAACTAGAAAGTTGTAGTTGCTAGGAGGTGAGGTGAATACAATTTTTGGGGGCAATAGTATAATCTTATATGCATCAAATACTTAATAAGAGTAAAGATGAAACTTAAAAGATCAATATGTAAAATGTAGCTTGATGATGAAGTATTCATTTGCAGAGGGGTCACATCTTACATGGCACCATTGGTGAAAGCTCTAGAGAAAGATTGCGGTTATGTAAACGACCAAACCCTCCTTGGAGCTCCATATGATTTTAGGTACGGCCTAGCTGGGCCGGGTCATCCGTCTCGTGTAGCCTCACAATTCTTACAAGACCTAAAACATTTGGTGGAGAAAACGAGCCGCGAGAACAAAGGAAAGCCAGTGATACTCATCTCACATAGCCTAGGAGGCCTTTTCGTCCTCCATTTCCTCAACCGTAACTCCCCTTCGTGGCGTAGCAAGTACATCAAACACTTTGTTTCGCTCGCTACGCCATGGGGTGGGACCGTTGAGCAAATGAAGACATTTGCTTCTGGAAACACGCTCGGTGTACCTTTTGTTAACCCTTTGTTGGTCAGACCGCAACAAAGAAGCTCAGAGAGTAACCAATGGCTACTTCCATCTCCTAATGTGTTTCGCGACAAAGCTAAACCCCTTGTTGTCACTCCTCGGGTTAACTACACAGCTTACGAAATGGATCGGTTTCTTGAAGACATTGGATTCTCACAAGGTGTTGTTCCTTACAATACAAGAGTGTTGCCTTTAACAGAGGAATTGGTGGATCCTGGAGTGCCAATCACTTGCATATATGGTAAAGGCGTCGATACGCCTGAGGTTTTGGTGTACGGAGAAGGAGGGTTCGATGAGCAACCAAATATTAAGTATGGTGATGGAGACGGGACGGTTAATTTGGCGAGTTTAGGAGCTTTGAATCACAAAGTTGAGAGCTTGAAAACTATAGAGATTGATGGAGTTTCGCATACTTCTATACTTAAAGATGAGATTGCACTTAAAGAGATTGTGAAACACATTTCGTTTATTAATTCTGGATTAGCCAAATGAGAGTGGTCGATTTAGTCATGTTGGAGTAAAATTACTTTGGTGATCAAAATTGTATTGTAAATTTTGTTATGAGATCCTTACAAGCAAGAAGTACTTGCAAACTTTGATTCTTGACCTCAAAAACAAAAATTCAACAAACTGCACAAGAGTTTTTTTCTTTTTCTTCAACATGTATTTTATTAAGATTAAAAAAGTTTGGTTAATCAAATCGAAATACAAAAATTTACAAACGTTAACAACGTGAGAGAATAACTAACATTAGAAAAAAAAGGAGAATCTAATTCGTTATTTCTACTTTTGGCCGTTATATTCCATCATTGCAAAGAAAAAGAAAAAAACACTCTGTTTTCGTTTCTAAAAACCAATTCAAACAAATAAAAACCATTTCTAGAGAACTCTGGGAAAAAAAGAAAAAAAAAACCTTTTTCACTGGTTCTGATAATTCAAAATATTTAAATTGCTTGAATAAAAAAGCTACATAATATAATTTATTTATTTTGCAAAATATTACAACACACATGTATTCTATATATAAACATCATCACAAGTTCTTTTCAAAAAAAAACAAAAAAACATCATCACAAGTTCCAGATTGATTATAAAAAAAAATCACAATTTATAATTTTCTATACAAGAGTTCGTAATATTCTTCTTTTTAACCATTTTTCGGATTCTCAATTTTAACCGTTTTTTAATTTAATAACTTTTTTTCATTTCACGTTTTGGAGAACATTTACCTTTAATTAACATATTTATTTTTTTGTTGCTTCAATAATCAAACGAATTTAGATTCGAGAATCCATTCGTCTTCTATTTGTTTCTTTAAAAACTCGATTCTCCTCCTTCTTCTCCTTCTTCGTCTTTCTCATTTTCTCTGTCTCTCGCACTGTAACTGAGCTCGCGAACAGGTTTCATATCTCTTCTATTCTTCTTTGAGATTCGATTCCCGATTGAGCTCATATATGTAGAGAATTTCTCGAGTTTAAGCTTGAAATTATTGAGGTTGCGTTACTTGGAAGTTGGATTTATAGAGTTTCAATGAATCAATTGGATGCTTTTTTGCTCCATTACCTCTAAGAATTCATGATTGTTTAGTGCCTAGAAATGGTAACTACTAACTAGAGTTTGTCATTGATTAATTCAGTTTGAGTTATATATGTGAATTGACTCTTAGAATTGTATGTTTGCATGTTAGTACTTCAGTCTTTCTCAGTTATTTTACCCTCAATTTGTATTTTATGGTAAAGTACAACTTAATTTTGACAGGTAGTTCTTGGACTGGTAAACCGAGAACCCGAGCAACATGCAAGGGGATGACGCTGGGGAAGTTCCATCGGCACCTACCACTCGTGTTCGGCATCGGAAGAGAAATAGTGATGTATGTTTGCTACTTTGCTCTTATTCAGATTTCCATATAGTTAACGAGACACAGCTCAAGGCAAAACGCTATATCACTTTGTTCTTGGCTTAAGCTAAGTTGCTTTTATTGTATTAGGATGGATTTGTGTGTTCCTTTTTTATTTATGTGATGTTGCAGCTATTCAAAATGTAAATAGCTTTTTTCTTGGTTTTTAGGTAGTTGCAGGGGCAGGCAAAGCAAATGGAAGCAGTTTACTTGTCAATGACAGTAACAAATACAAATCGTTTCTCATTCGAGCATACTCCACTTTCTGGATGATAGGTGGTTTTGCTCTGATAGTTTACATGGGTCATCTCTACATTACAGCCATGGTGGTTGTTATCCAGATATTCATGGCACGAGAGCTTTTCAATCTGCTTAGAAAAACTCATGAAGATAAACAGCTCCCTGGGTTTAGGCTACTGAATTGGTAAATCACATTTTGCTCACTTCTTCTCAACCTTTCGATTTTCGATATAGATACGTAAGGATATCGTCTTATTCGCTGTTTTGTGCAGGCACTTCTTTTTCACAGCAATGCTTTTTGTATATGGCCGAATACTTAGTCAACGGTTAGTCAATACTGTGACTCCAGACAAAGTCCTATATAGACTGGTCACCAGCCTCATCAAATACCACATGGCAATCTGTTACTCCTTGTATATTTCCGGTTTGTTGTTTTATGATCTTTTGGGTTTACTCATTACTGTGAGGAGTAATGATGTATCCACTGCTTTTGCTTATAGTCTGTTTTATTTGCTGTGGAAATTGTAGGCTTTGTATGGTTTATTTTGACGTTGAAAAAGAAGATGTACAAATATCAGTTTAGCCAATATGCATGGACGCATATGATCTTAATTGTGGTGTTTACTCAGTCCTCATTCACCGTGGCCAACATCTTTGAAGGAATCTTCTGGTAATCACATAGCGACATATGTCACTTGTTCCTTTAAAGCTTCTTGCTTTTTTCGTTACGTTTGGCTGCGGGGAACATATTGTCTTTTATATTCTCAAGTCTGTTTTGTTAAAATGCTCAGGTTTCTTCTTCCTGCATCACTTATCGTCATCAATGACATCTTTGCATATATTTGTGGTTTCTTCTTTGGAAAAACACCGTTGATCAAGTTATCACCAAAGAAAACTTGGGAAGGTTTCATTGGCGCTTCTATTACCACGATGATTTCTGCATTCCTGGTAAGCTTGTTTTATTGGCTAATAAGTAATATGTTTTATATGAGTTTTTGTTTAATGATCATTAATCTTGCTCTCTTTTTGCAGCTTGCGAATATAATGGGTCGTTTCCTATGGCTAACATGTCCTAGAGAGGTACTTGGTAGTTTAGTCATGTCGTTCCTGTCTTCTTTTCATACAAGAACAGTAGTTAAAATTAGTGACCATATATGTTATTTGTGCTGCAATACATACAGGATTTATCGACGGGCTGGCTCCACTGTGATCCCGGTCCATTGTTCAAGCAAGAGACACATGCTTTACCAGGATGGATTTCTGATTGGGTAAAGGCTAGAAGAATTGTACAATACAAAAACAATTTACCTGAGCAACTATAATTGCTTCTAAAACGACATTTACTTTGCAGTTCCCTTGGAAAGAAATTTCGATTCTACCAGTTCAGTGGCATGCTCTGTGTCTTGGATTGTTCGCCTCTATAATAGCGCCTTTTGGTGGCTTCTTCGCCAGTGGTTTCAAAAGAGCTTTCAAAGTCAAGGTGGGTTTCAGATGATATTTACTCTAAAACCTTAATATATATGCAACATTAGTTCACTGTTACATATCTTTGACATTCAGGACTTTGGCGATAGTATTCCCGGGCACGGAGGAATCACAGATAGAATGGATTGTCAGGTATATATACTGGTAGTGACTTCAATACATTTATCCAACAAATCG